AGTTTTTATGTGTTTTTGTGTTCCTTCACGATTCTTATGTAAGATTTGAATAGAGTGTCATGGTTGATCTCTTATAGCTATGTATAAAGTGAGTGCATAATAAATTAAAAAATAATGCACCTGTTGGGGTGCAAGTATGAATAAGTGAGCGGGAAAAGGCATCACCTTTATTTATTTCTTTTTTGTTTATATGTATTTTTATCTTGTGCATCTTCTATATTTTCTCAGGTTTCGAGTTTTGGATGGTACACCACTGTCGGTAAGGATTTGTGTGTGATTACAGAGAGATGATTCACACAAAACATGAGACGGAAGATGGAATGCTCTCTAAGGATCAGATGGATTCGCCGTTGATCGATGATGGTAACTGTGGAGGAGTTGGAGCTGGGGGAATTGTTCTGAAGAAAGGACCATGGACATCAGCTGAAGATGCAATTTTGATAGACTATGTGAAGAAGCATGTGGAGGGCAACTGTGGAATGCTGTTCAGAAGCATTCTGGACTATTTCTTTGCGGAAAAAGTTACCGCTTACGTTGGGAAAATAACCTAAGGCCGAACTTGAAGAAAGGGGCATTTACTCAAGAAGAAGAACAGCTGATAATCGAACTCCACGGAAAGATGGGGAATAAATGGGCTCGAATGGCAGCTCATGTAAGTTTTCAGTTCATTAACAGTGAATCTAGTTATTCCAACGACCGGTTGAATGAGTGAAATTTATTGAACCTGAAAGAATTTGAGAATTACATGAGAAAAGGATTCTTAATGTTTGAGTTCAAGTGAAAGATCCCTCTGCCCATCTATATACTGAATTTCCTGATTACTGTCTTTGAACACTTTCATTCTATAATAAATTTATAGCAAGTTGCATGGAATATTACGAAGAATACTGTTTGTTATACTTGTCTGTTTTTCATTCTCTGACTATTTGAGCTCCTCTTGCTGCTTGTCTCCATCTGAATTCATAATCAGTAACATAGCGGAGATTCTAAGATCCAATTACGTTCTCAGTGTGGATCGTTTAAGTCCTGATTTTATTATCCTTAGATTCAGGAAGATCCAAATTGGGACAGTCATGTTTAGTGTTTAATTTTTTGGCCAAAAGTAGTATTCAGTGTTCAAGGAGTAATGCCTGTCAAGAGTGTCATTAGGTGTCTTCATATGTAAGACCAATTTCATTCTTGGCCTGGTTGAGGTGGTCGTCTCCGAGGGTTGTGAAAATTCAGCTCCTTATATGTACTCTTCTAGCCCATTCCCCTATCTTATGCCATCTTATTCCCACAGCCTGAACTAAAATACAAAACATAGTACATGCCTTAAAACAAGATAATTTACCATATTAGTAGCATATTGTTTTATTTCGATGTTGTAAATTTGGGCTAGATGCAAAAAATTGAAGTGTCCCAGAATCCTATGATAGCTATTCCGTCCTTGTAAATGCTAAGCATTTGTATGAAGCATGATAAAACTTTCAGTTATAAGATTCTATGTATCTATCATTTAGGTGTCTGAAATAAGTTTCTCTATGCAGTTGCCCGGTCGCACAGATAATGAGATAAAAAATTACTGGAATACCCGGATTAAGAGACGCCAACATGTTGGGTTAACTCTGTATCCTCCTGAAGTGTGCCTGCAAGCACTGCAGGAGAGCCACAGTACCAGTGGAGCTAATAGATTGGATAAAGGACCTCGTGATATCGTGCAAAATAATAGCTATGAGATACCTCATGTCATATTTAACAGTTTAAAGCCCAATCAAAATGTGCTGCCTTATGTTCCTGAGCTTCCTGTTATATCTGCTAGCAGCATGCTGATGAAAGATCTAGGTTCTTCTCAATATTGTGGTTTCATGCCATCAACAATCCATTGCCAGAATCATCTTCGAGAATTGCCAACCTTTTTCCCTGGTTATACTGGTGCTGTTAAAATAAATGCCCTTTGTTGATGCAGTTTCAAGATGATATATCAGATAAGGCTGCTGGATCCTTTGGGCTGCCTTTTCCAATTGAACCAAATCCCGCAACAAAGAACTCCCAGTCATCTGGTTTATTCCCAGGTAGCCATGCCCTTTCAAATGGCAATTTCTCTGCTTCAGAGCCCACTTTAGAGGCTGTGAAGTTGGAGCTCACTTCACTCCAATATACAGAAACTGATTTAGGTAACTGGGGCACATTGTCTTGCCCTCCACCTTTACCGAGTCTGTTGATGCTTTTATCCAGTCACCACCATCAACAAGTGGACTGGAGTCCGATAGTCTTTCGCCCCGTAATAGTGGCTTGCTGGATGCTTTACATCATGAGGCGAAAACTCTAAGCAGTGCAAAGAATCATGCATCTGACAAAAGTTCAAATTCATCTACCCCCGGTGATATAGATGAAGGTTCCAATTTCAACAATTGTGAGACGGAATGGAAGAAATGTGGTTAACCTCTTTCTCCGATGGGTCAATCAGCAACATGTCTTTTCAGTGAGTGTATCAGTGCAAGTGGCAGTTCTTTGGATGAGCAGCTGCCTGCTGAAACCGTTACTGGTGAGCACCTCTCTGATCTTGGCTTATTAAGGCTGGGACATGATTTATACTTTTCATGAAATATCGGAAGGTTAAAGCTATCTTCCTGTCTTATGAAAATTTGATCTGTCATCAAGTGTCAATTTTTACATATATCCTGTAGATTCCTGTGATGTATGGACTTGAGATAGAATTTCAAAAGCCTGCCAATTTCTTAAATCACAAACCCTAGTACAGTAGCATTATCAACTTTTGATGTGGATAGTCAATCGAACTTGATGACTGAAAATTCATTTGCGGTTGAGACCATCGAATGGTACGAGTCATGGATGTTTTTGGTCTGTTGTCTATGATTTTTTTTTTTTCTGTCAAACTGTTGAATGCATGTATGCCGACATGAACTCCGAGTTATACAAATGCATTCGAGATGTTGTTATAACTTTTAGAATAATTATGAACTTCCAGCATGGACTCTCCAGAACAAATGGTTTGCTATTTGATGCATTGTCTATGCCTTAACTGAAATGCTTATTTGTGCTGGAGTTGTTGACTAGGGAAACACAGTTCTATTTCATTGCTAGGTTTCGAAATCTTTGTTTCTATTCAAGCAAGAGTTACTCAAGTTAATCATTAGAATATTCGAATTTGATTTGTTCAAATTATTGATGCAAAATAGTCCATATTGTAAAAATACTTTTGTAAGCTTTAAAATTATAAATATGTGACACTAAACATTTTTTTTTTGTTAAGACAGAAAAAAAGAATACAATAATATTTCAACAGCACTATGCTGTTCATCCAACTGAAGTAAATCCTCCACCTGACTTGGAGGGTGTATAAAGAGAGCTTCACGCATCGATAAGCTTTGAACTAAAGCCGCCATTTTATCTGCAACTGAATTATAAGCACGCTGAACTTGACCAAGACGAACTTCCCAATTGCGTTGTAGTAATTCTTTGATCACAACGACAAGAGCATTACCTTGATAACTCGAGCAAGAATTCAGAAGCCCACCAATAGCCTCAAGATTATCATATTCTAATTCTATTCGTCTATATCAATGTCTCTATGCGCGTCGAAGCGCATCACATATCGCCCACAACTTTGCATTCAACACTGAACAATTACCTGTTCTTCGAGAGGAGCCAAAGAGCCAGTCACCTTGATCCAAATGAAATACACATCCTACGACAGCTTGGTCATCAACTATATCCACCGCAGCATCGGTATTCATTTTAATCCACCCCTCCATCGGTCTCCTCCGATAATTAGAGCTCGATTCCCGACCTTTCGCTAAAGAAATACATCGAGTAGAATTCTGAATAACACCTTCAATTTCTTTCATGTAATCCATACTCGATTTCAGGGACGGAGCTATTCATTAGCTCGGGGGCACTGCCCCCAAATTTTTTAATCATTAAAAATATATAGGGATAACTACCTATTTGGTCCTTTAAGTTTTGGTTTATTTTGATTTTACCCCTCTTATCTTTTATTATTAATTATACTTTGTCCCTCTTGAACTTCAAGTTTTGGTTTTTTTTTTTAATTTTGTGCCTCCCATTTTTTATTATTAATTATACTTGGCCCCTTGAACTAGAATCCTGACATCATCCCTGCTTGGTTTAACAATATCCTCTTTCTCAATAAACTCAGGCTACAAAAGTATTTTATTACATCTAGTCCATAACATCCAACAAAAAACAGGAAACATAATTGACCCGCTTGTCGTATATTCTCTCGAAACCAATCCTCCAAAGACAACGAGTTAAACTCTTGGAATGCATTATGCCTATTAAAGTACTCAAAATTTTCTTCATCGGTTGATAATACAAAGCCTGCAGATATAACTACTTAAAATCATGACCACTAAGAAAATTAACATTCCGTGATAGGTTAGAAAATTTAAACTCTTAAAACAAACAAAAAGTGTGATTTGAATACTTATTTACATATAATATCATGCAATTATCTTTAAAGCTAACACTCATAGGTTTAGGTTCCAATCTTTGAATTTTGGTGGCAAAGTAAAGGATGTCATCATACAAAACATGTACATCCCATCTTCACGAGGGAATCTGCAAAAGTGGTTATCAAAATGTCAATCCCAATCTTGAACAACCCTTATACTCGTTCCATCAAATATACGTGTGTCTTAGCAAGTTGTTTCTCTTTTACAAATGAGGCCAAAACTATGTATATGAGGACTGTGACAAAAGCACATATTCAATCTACCACTCAGCGTGATGCTTAAGAGACAGATCACCCCCTTCTACTGGAAATTCCATGTTTAAGTGGGATTCCCCGGAAAGAAGAAAAAACATGTTTGGACCGGTTTGATCTTAGATGGAATATTAGGGATGGGAATACATAAGGAGATAATATAAGATATACAAAAGGAAGAGAAAAAATTCGATACCGATGTACCTAATTATTCCATTCACTTGGCATGTTCTGAACAGTGCAGGGTTTAAACCAGTATATAAGTAGGTGTATATTGCAACACCCAAAGCACACAACACAAGCAAAACACACAAAGCTACCAAAACCATGGCTCAAATGATGATGGCAGCTGCTAAAGCTCAAGATCATAAACACACCTCGGTGAAGCTTCGGAACGATTCGAAACACGATGTATCCCTAGTAAGCTACAAGGTTTGGGAAGGAGATCAGGATACAAAATTCCCCACAAAAATATTGAATGGAGATGTTGCTGAGGTCACTCACAATGCAGGGCCTAAGGACGGTTCAGTCGCTGGTCTCGCATATGAAATGATGAACGATGGCAAAAAGTGGGTTGTTACCTGGAGCAACCCTAGAGGTGAAGACAGCACGGTATGCATGTACTGCAATATTCTTTTATTTAGTTAATTTGTACAATAGATTGAAGCATTTTAATGTGTATATTGCGTGGCACATGCAGGTGTACGTTGATATAGTGGATGGACATATTGATTGGGATCAAATCAAGAAGGATCTTGATAACTTAGGGGGATTCGAGTTCTGATGCTGTTAGGTTTGGATACAGAGCTGGAATGGTAGTTGATGATCCACAGGCCTGCTCGCCGATCGTCACTGCTTATATTGAGCATCGGACCTGAGATGGCTCATCACACTGTGTGGCTGTCCAACTTCAATACCACTACTACTAATAGGACAATAAATTTGACAGCCATTAGATAAGTACGTGTGTCTTCAGGTTGGGGCCTTTCAGAATCATATCGTTGCCATGCATGCATGGATAGTTGTAAAATACTACACTATATATGGATTAAAATAAAACAGAAGGGCCTTTTTTCCAGCTGTGTGTGTGCTTGTGCAGAGAGGGAATTAAATTCATCCCCAAAGAAATTATGTCGTTATCAAACTTTTACGCATCTCAGTTGTCTACTGCTGCTGTTGGGTATGATTTTTTTTTTGTTTTGCACCATAAGGGAATAAACTTTATTAAAGAGCTAAAAGGAAAATGAAGAACAACAAGCTGAAAAAAATGAAAATAATACAACTCCTCAAAATAAAGAGCTTCTATCAATCCCCCTTGGAAGGGTATCGGCAAAACTAAAAACTAAAATAAAATTAGGCTTACTAATTGTCCAAATTATACCTCTTTTCCGAATAAGTGCTTAAAGTATTTTTCAGCCCATCCAGATGCCTAAAGTTATAAACGTTATCACTTTACGTGCCTGGCACATGTCACTTAATGGACCTTTTTAACGGTTGTTAGAACTGAAGCACCTAAAATAATAACGTTGTCATTTAATGGACCTTTTTAACGGCCATTAGAATTGAGTCACCTTAAATAATAAGGTTTGTAACGTTTAGGCACTTATTTTATACTTAAACAAAAAAAGACGTGCTACCCATCCCCCTCTCTCCTTTCGTCATTTAATTTTCATGGCCAAATGGCCAAAATTCAAATGGTCCCAAGGGGCTGGTTTCCACAGTCGATTACCACGATCGATCAAACGAATTTAAGGGATTGAGTATTTGAAATTTTACAGATCAAGAATTGAAATTTATGGATTTGAGAGTTTTAGGTTTTGAGATGATATTAAGAGTTGTAACCGGTTAGTGGGTGGTCGGCGACATATGGGTGGTCCGCCACCGACGAACGGGTGGTCGGAGATGACCGGTAGTTGGAGCATATGGGACTAAAATAAGAGATTTTAAGAGTTTAGTTTTTTTGGTATTTTACAAAAAAATGGGGTTTTTTTAAAGTAAAATATTTTTATGTTTTTTAAAATAAAATTTTAAAATTATCAGACTGTGACACGTGTCACTTAACGGGATTTTTTAACGGCCGTTAATACCGAGTCACCCTAAGTGATAACGTTTGTAACGTCAGTCACATAAAGTTGTAACGTTTATAACTTTAGACACCTGGATAGGCTGACAAATACTTTCGGCACCTATTCGAAAAATTATAGTTTGTGAACTTATTTTATTCTTAAGCCATAAAATTAACCTTCCCTCTTTTAAGTAAATTTGATTTTGTTTTCACTCACGAACTAAGTATAACAAATTTTAAAAATTTGAAAGTGTTTGACACGATTTGATGTTACTTAACTCAACTGAAAAAGCATTTAAAAACTAAAATAAAAAATATAAACATATAGAGTTATAAAAGTAATTCGAGCTTATTAATAAATTTTAATTAAATTATTTATAAAAAATATATATTAACAAAATATATATGTATTGTTTACACGTATACTATTGTGTCTTAAATACTAATATTTATAATTTTTTTTAACAATTTAGTGGCTAAAAGATCAAAAATTGTTCACGAAAACATTAACACCCAAAAGTTGAGTGAATATAACATTAACCGTAATTAGAGGTGTCAATGAATCGAGTTTGAACGAATAAGGTTGTCTTTGTGTTTATATGTCTATTTTTGAAGGTGTTCATGTTCGGTTCGTATTCGTTTAAACTTTTAATATTTTATTCATGTTCGTTTATTTATTGTTCACAAACATATTCATTTTTATGTTGATGAATATGTTCGCTTCGTTTAGCGTTTGTTTATATGTTGAGTTTTTAGTTTTTTACAGTTTCATTTTCAAGGTAAAGAAAAATGGTAAAACTACGTAAGTAGTGCTTAAACTCCAAATTTTATCATGTTTTCAGTGTAGTCCATACCTCCACCAATATTTAAAATGTAAAAAGATAAAAAGAAAAGGAGAATCAGGTAAACGAACTTCTAAAAGAGCCATTAAACGAGCTTATAAATGAGTTTGTTTGTGAACATAAATGAACATAACACACCTTTATTCGCATAGACAACGAGTTAAACACTTGGAATGCATTATGCCGAACTAAAGTACTCAAAATTTTCTTAATCTATTGATAATACAAAGCCTGCATACGTAACTACTTAAAATCATGACCACTAATAAAAATAACATTCCATGATGGGTTAGAAAATTTAAACTCTTAAAACAAACAAAAAGTGTGATTTGAATACTTATTTACATATAATGTCATGCAATTATCTTTAGAGCTAACACTCATAGGTTTAGGTTCCAATCTTTGTATTTTGGTGGCAAAGTAAAGGATGTCATCATACAAAACCTATACATCCCATCTTCACGAGGGAATCTGCAAAAGTGGTTATCAAAATGTCAATCCCAATCTTGAACAACCCTTATACTCGTTCCATCAAATATACGTGTCTTAGCAAGGTGTTTCTCTTTTACAAATGAGGCCAAAACTATGTATATGAGGACTGTGACAAAAGCACATATTCAATCTACCACTCAGCGTGAATATATGCTTAAGAGACAGATCACCCCCTTCTATTGGAAATTCCATGTTTAAGTGGGATTCCCCAGAAAGAAGAAAAAAACTTGTTTGGACAGGTTTGATCTTAGATGGAATATTAGGGATGGAAATACGTAAGGAGATAAGAAATAGAAAAGGAAGCTCTACAGCAAAATAGAGTTTTAGCAGCGTTTTTTAGTCCTATAGCGGCGTTTCTAAGCGCCGTTAAAAGCGCTTGCGGCAATTGGAAAAACGCCGCAAGAAATGCCGCTAATAACAGCGCCGCTAAAGTTAGCGGCGTTTGAGAACTAAAAATGCCGCAAAAGGTCGAGATCGATAGCGGCGTTATGGAACAAACGCCGTAAAAGGTTAAATATTTAGCAGTGTTTTTTATACAAACGCCGCAAAAGGTCATATCTATAGCGGCATTTTTGGAACAAACGCCGCAAAAGGTCAGATTAATAGTGGCGTTTTTGGACACAAACGCCGCAAAAGTCAGATCTATAGCGGCCTTTTTGGACACAAACGCCGCAAAAGGTCAGATCTATATCGGCATTTTTTGGACACAAACGCCGCAAAAGATAAGATCTATAGCGACATTTTTGGACACAAACGCCGTAAAAGGTCAAATCTATAGCGGCATTTTTGGATACAAACGCCGCTAATTACCATTATTTAGCTAAGATTAATTGATATTTTGCATATTTTATTTTTGCTATACATCACCTAAATTTAATATCACGTAACTTTATATAAATAAAAACAACCATAAATTTTAACAAAATAAATTAAATTTATAAACATTAAAATTAAATGTAATGTAGCTTTGATGTTCATTACTTCGAAAATATTGAGTTCAAGTCCACATATGGAAAGAAAAATGAATTAGTATGCATATAATATAAGCTACAAATGCCATTTGGCTGGATTCCTGACCTAAAAGCCATTCCAACAGTACAGAGATCAAACATATTCAAATAGAGCCTGCAGCTGCAACATTCTACTACTGATCTGCAACATGGAAATAAATCAATCAGTACAGAAACCATTAACTCTAACTGCCAGTATGCTGCCTTAATGGTTGTATAAGATAATGCCTTTTCCTGATTCAGAACAAGATTGGGAAAATAAAATAGAATGTCTAATACTAATACAATGGGAGTAATTGTAAAACCTAATGTGAGTTGGTCAAAGGTAATGGCACCAAAAGACAGTAAAAAATTCGAAGCAAAAAATAATAATATTCAAGATAGAGCCACAAATGGTGTAGAAATGTAATACCGTGTAAAAAACTCTTTTTGTATCAACTTAAATCGCTTGAAATAAGGTAAATCCTAGGTTCAAAATCTAGTAATAGAAAGATTAAAGAACATGAGTATTAATTCCAAGAACAATGAAAAAGTTGATTGCTTTGGACTCATAGTGTTGCCATCACCTATTATTTCATGTGCAGTGAAGTGTAAAAAACTACTAAAACTGAGTATTTAATGATTTAAACATAACATATAATCCACAAAAAATACTGTCAACACCAACTACTGCCACAAAAAATATATTTGATTCGGGTATACTTTGATTATTTCCAAGTTTTCCATACCTTTGGAGGATCATACTCGGAACTCGTATCTGAATATATGTCAGACATGAATACTTTAAGAAGAAGGAAGATCATACTGCAGATATCAAACTCAGACTCCCACTTCATCATCTCTTCAGATGAATAGCTACTTGCCTGCTGCGTCATTCGAAAGCTTCTCATTGGCAACATCGCTGGGAAGATCAGGTCCACTAGGGATTTTTCTAGGATAGTTGGTCGTTGAACAATCTGATCCCAACATGCTGAAGTAAAAATGTTCAAGAAAAAAAGTTCAGAACAATTATGCTGGGTTAAGCAAATGACGTGTTTCAAGGTTTTAAAATGCCATACATACCATCTATCAACCAAAACTCCGGACCGGAGCTCGCAATTCGGAAAGCTGCAACTGGTTATACCAAATCATCATATTAGTTTGAAATTACAAGGTTTTAAACCATTACTACTGGAAAGCTTAGATTCAAGTACTTAACAGATCAAAATTCTGCTCATAAAACTATGCCATCAATACAGTAGTGAATTGCAATTCATTATAGAGAGGACATGGACTTTGGACTCAAGATTTCAGGTTATCAGTGTTTTCAACTTTCAAAGAAAACTAGTTTGGTCTATCAAGAAACAGTTAATTAACAATTGAAAATTTGCACAACTCACTGTGTGCATATTTCACTCTTCACAGATGGATGACGATCATTGCCAAAAACACCAAAGGTTTAGTGCAAGAAGTTGCTGTGACTAAAAACGACAATTTCCCTCTCTTCTCGTGTCCACAGACTGCCACAAATGATAAATGGATATAGTAAAAGAAAAGGTTGGGAGGATATGAAATAGACATCGAACGAAGCAATTTTACTTCGAACGGTAAACTACCCATTTCTATCATTCAAATTAATACAGGGTCAAAATATGGGTTTGATATGTATGCTCATTTTTTTCTAAAAAAAATCCATATGTTTGGAGGACCATACTCCCATATAGTTAAAGCAGATACAAAGGGACCACTTACCAGTTCAAGAATTTCATTCCACTGGTTACAATTTCTTCATTCTTTTCTCTACAGTTAGCTTCCCACAAATTATCCTCATTGCTGTCAATCTGAAGGACAAAAATTCCACCAATTAACCGATATTGAAATTGCAATAAAAAATTCCAATATAGGTAAAGTGAATGAGAATCATTAATTCGTAAGACAAGTTACGTAACAAGGAAAAATCATTGCAGGAACAGAGGCCAATATTCGCTGATGTTTTTCTTCACATGGATGGACTCCCTGTTGTTCAATGGTTCAAGGAGGAAAAGGAAATGAAAATCATATGAGAAAGGCATGGTATGCAAAGTTCAACTTGCAAAATGAATAAATTCTAGGCAATCAATATTAGCTGGTCGTAGCCACCTGTGCTGCGCTTCCATGAGTATCTGCTCAATATCTGCACCCAACAAGCTCCTTTCTTTTCAACAAAAATTAACACCCCTTGAGCTTAACAATTTTTCTTCTGCATAATAGGATTCGAATGAAGCTATTTATTCCATCTTTCAAACCAAACCTCACAAAATAAAAAATAAATTAAAGCCCACCTCGTGAACTAAAATATTAGCAAAATGGACCAACAGAACATCAAATGCAGTAAATTAAAACATGACAAAATATAGCAGGAAAAAAGGAGCAAGATTCAACTTCCACTAAAAACCCAAAATGAAAGATAATAGAAGAGCCATTTCTTGCTCCAGTCCTCGAAGATCCTCTATGCTTGCATCGTTCAAACATTCACCCATCTTTTGCCTGCCATCGATCCATCAAATATACAAAATCAAATTAAAATTAAATTATTTGTATACATTAAAACAAAAATTAGAAGAAATATATGGTTTCAATTCAAGTTTTTCAAAAAAGAAAAAGAAAAGTAGAAATCTAGGGTTTTTGAAAGTGATACGAAGTGGAAGGACTGATGAACTCGTGGATTTTTCCAGTACTGGAAATCATGATGATGGAAACCCTCACATCGCAGAGAACGGTGAGCTCATTAGCTTTCTTGAAGAGACTGTTTCTTCTCTCAGAGAACGTTACTTGCCTGTTGGTCGGGTTCTTAAAAGCATGAGGCCCCTTAGAGTTAAGTTTAAGGCTAGAGTTTGCTAAATTTAGTTAAATGCGGTATATATATAGCGTTTGTATAAAAATTACTAAAGAATGATTATTTAGTGGCGTTTGTACTTAAAACGCCATTAAAGTACAATATTTAGCGGTGTTTATATAAAAGTGTCACTAAAGTATGAGTATTTAGCGTCGTTTGTGCTTAAAACACCACTAAAGTACAGTATTTAGCGGCGTTTATATAAAAATACCACTAAAGTATGAGTCTTTAGCGGCGTTTGTATATAAACGACACTAAAGTACGAGTCTTTAGCGGCGTTTGTATAACAACGCCACTAAATCACGAGTCTATGTGGCGTTTTCAATAAAAACATCACTAAAGTACAACTCTATAGCGGCGTTTGTACAAAAACGCCACTAAATAACAGTCTTTAACGGCGTTTGTATAAAAACGCCACTAAAGTACATTCTTTAACGGCGTTTTTATAAAAACACTGCTATAGTACGAGTCTTTAGCGGCGTTTGTTCTAAAAACGCCGATACAAATGCCGCTATTTACCCATTTTGCTGTAGTGAAGAGAAAAATTTCTATACTGATGTACCTAATTATGCCATTCACTTGGCATGTTCTGAACAGTGCAGGGTTTAAACCAGTATATAAGTAGGTGTATATTGCAACACCCAAAGCACACAACCTAAACACACAAAGCTACCAAAACCATGGATCAAATGATGATGGCAGCTGCTAAAGCTCAAGATCATAAACACACCACGGTGAAGCTTCGGAATGATTCGAAACACGAATTATCCCTAGTAAACTACAAGGTTTGGGAAGGAGATCAGGACACAAAATTCCCCGCAAAAATATTGAATGGAAATGTTGCTAAGGTCACTCACAATGCAGGGCCTAAGGACGGTTCACTCGCTGGTCTCGCATATGAAATGATAAACGATAGCGAAAAGTGGGTTGTTACCTGGAGCAACCCTAGAGGTGAAGACAACACGGTATGCATGTATTGCGCTTTTATTTGGTTAATTTGTACAATAGATTGAAGCATTGCAATGTATATATTGCGTGGCACATGTAGGTGTACGTTGATATAGTGGATGGGCATATTGATTGGGAGCTGGAATGGTAGTAGGCCTGCTCACCGACCGTCACTGCTTATATTGAGCCTCAGACCTGAGATGGCTCATCACACTGTGTGGCTGTCCAACTTCAATACCACTACTACTAATAGGACAATAAATTTGACAACCATTAGATAAGTGTTGAATTAAAATAAAGTAAAAACTCTAATTGATCGAGAAGAAGAAAAACTCTATTTAGAATAATCTCACAAAATTGCAAAAGAGAAAGAACTCTTAAGAAAACTTTCAAATGCTTATAATTAAGCTTTTATTGTTGGATGATAAAACTCAAATACAAATGGAGTATTTATAAGTTACAAGAACTAATATAAACCACTCATTAAAATAACCATAAAATAATTTAAACCATTGAAATTAAAAATGAGAAAAATACTTAATTTTCACCTAACTAAATTGATGTAAGCAATGACATCAAAACTAAATTTATGTAAGCAATGACATAAAATTAATTTAGGTGTGGACTTATTTAGGCTAATATTGACTTCTCAACACTCCCCCTCAATGTTAGCCCCCATTCTTTGAATCACACCAAGCTGACGACGGAAATGTTCAAACTTTCCAACACTGAAGCTTTTTGTAAACAAGTCAGCAATTTGCTCATTTGTCTTGATTTGCCTCATCTCAATCTCTTATTGCAAAACATTTTCCCTAACAAAGTGGTAATGTACTTCCACATGTTTAGTTCTTGCATGAAAAACAGGATTCTCCGCCAGCTGAATTGTCGATAGGTTATCACAGTACAACATAACTGCATAATCTACTGGTTGATGTAGATCATTCATTAGTTGTATCAGCCACGTGCTTTCTTGAGATGCTATTGCTCCTGCTCGGTACTCTGCTTCCGTAGTTGATAAGGATACAGTCGGTTGTCTCTTGCTATACCAAAAATTATTCCGGAGCCAAGCTTAAACACATAACCAATTGTTGATCTTCTGGTGTCATGATCTCCTGCATAATCAGCATCACAATAACCAACTAACTTGCAGTCTTCACTTTTCTTGCACAAAAGACCATAGTCAATTTTACTCTTCACATATCTTAGTATTCTTCGAACTGCTTCCAAATGAGGTTTCTTTGGATTTTACATATATTGACTCATCACACCAACTGCATAAGAAATGTCAGGTCGGGTCAAAGTTAAGTAGATAAGACTACCTGCCAATCGTCGATACATTGTTGCATCTTCCAAATCTTTTTCTTCATATGCAGACATTTTGGCATTTGGTTCCATTGGCGTCGAAGTTGACTTGCATTCAAGCATTCCAAACCTCTTCAACAAATCTTTAGCATATTTCTGTTGACACAAAAATATTCCTTCATGTGTGCGATCAACCTCTAGACCAAGGAAGTGCTTAAGTTGTCCATGTTCCTTCATCTGGAAACGAACTGATAAATTCTCCTTCGTTAGAAGAATTTCTACCTCATCATCATCGGTTATGATTAAGTCATCCACGTACACTAGCACGATAGCTAGCTTACCTTCATTGACTTTGACAAACAAACTAGAATCTGCAGGTGTTACTGAATAGCCACTTTTCATTGGAAATTCATCAATCTTACTATATCACGCCCTAAGTGCTTGTTTCAATCCATAGAGTGATTTTCGCAGCTTACACACATATTCAGGATGATCTTGGCTCTGAAAACCCATTGGTTGGGTCTTATAGATCTCTCGATCTAGCTCTCCATGAAGAAAAGCGTTCTTCACATCCATCTGCCACAAATTCCAGTCTTTGTTGGCTGCAACTGCAAGTAGGATTCTTACGGTTGTAAGTTTTTCCACTGGACTAAATGTTTCATCATAGTCTAGTCCAAACTGTTGAGAGAAACCACGAGCTACTAATCGTGCCTTGTACCTCTCGATTGACTCATCTGGATGGCGCTTTATCTTGTAAA